CTATGTACAGCTTTCTATGTCGTGCTTCATTTGGACTGCTTTGCTTTCTCAGGTCCTAGGCTCCTTCTTTTCTATAACCATGGATCTACATCCCCTTCCTCAAGCCTTGCTGCTTGTCCCAACTTTCTAAAAGTCAGACCAGTTTGGCCAGTGGCAACCCAAAATACATCTGTCTGTTCAGGAAATTCAACTAAATACCTCTAGAGGATTTGTCACCACTGCTACATCACTTAATGCATCACAATATAGGTTCATGTTCAGGCTATAATTTATGATGTTTTAGTTTGTCCCTCCCTCCTTTGCTAAAATAGCCCTAGTTAGGGTTGCCAGGTTCCCCCTGGCCACCTCTGCGGGATGACTCTGCTGCTCACATGTTATCTGTCAATCCCCTCTTTATCCCACCCTTCCTCCAGTCTCCCTTCCCTTATATTGACCTCACAACAATGGCAATATCACCCAGCCTGATGAAGGGAACTTTGACTCTTGGAAGCTTATTCCCTGAAACTCTTGTTGGTCTCTAATCTGCTACTGGACTCAAATCTAAGTGTCCCAGTATCACCGAGTAAGCATCATGCAAAATGTATATCTGAACATGGGTCTCCTCAGTCCACACTGGTCTTCATGCCATTGCTCCATCTACTTCAGCATAGTCTGCTCTGATACAGGTGAGCTCTAGAGACACAGACAGAGAAACATCCTTTCCAACACCTGAGGTTCTCTTAGACCTCCTAGGTTTAAACCTTTACCCTTTGGCATACAAGGCATAGTCTCTCTACCATCAGTCCATCAATATCAGCATTGTCTACTCTGACTGGCAGTGGTTCTCCAGGGTTTTAGGTAGAGGATTTTAGCAGAGTGTTCAGCCTTCAGTTCTTAGACCTTTCTGTTGTGTATTTTGCACAGTGTGAAGGAATGTTGTCTGGTGATCTTTTTCTAGGGCATATAGTCTCATTCAGTCAGAATAAAGCACATTGAATCCTATTGAATTCAGTGGAATATTTCAGGGTGTGCTTATCTTTCCTACTGAAATCAGTGAAAAGGGCTTCACTTTTGACAGGACTCTGTTATGTCATGCTTAAACTGTGGGTTTTTTGTTGTTGTTGAGAGCCAGTTTGGTGTAGTGGTCAAGTGCGTGGACTCTAATCTGGGAGAATCGGGTTTGATTCCCCACTCCTCCACTTGCACCTGGCTGGATGACCTTGGGCAAGCCATAATTCTGGCACAGCTGTTCTTGAAAAAGAGCAGTCTCTGTCAGAGTTCTCTCAGCCCCACCTATTTCACAGGGTGTCTGTTGTGGGGAGGGGAAGGGAAAGGAGTTTGTAAGCCGGTCTGAGACACCTTTGGGTAGTGAAGGGTGGGGTATAAATCCAATCTCTTCTTCTTCTCTTCTTTTTGAGGGGTGACATGATTGAGGTTTATAAGATTATGCATGGGATACAGCAGGTTGAGAAAGAAGTACTTTTCTCAATTTCTCACAATACAAGAACTCATGAGCACTCAATGAAATTGCTGAGCAGTCGGGTTAGAACAGATAAAAGGAAGTAATTCTTCACCCAAAGAGTGGCTAACACATGGAATTCACTGCCACAAGAGGTGGCGGCAGCTACAAGCATGGACAGCTTCAAGAGGGAATTAGATAAGCATATGGAGCAGAAGTTCATCAGTGCCTATTAGCCACAAGGTATAGTTAGGAAGTCTTGGGTTGGGGCAAGTGATGCGCTGTATTCTTGGTGCTTGGGGGGGGCAGCAGTGGGAGAGCTTCTAGTGTCCTGGCCCCACTGCTGGACCTCCTGATAGCACCTGGTATTTTTGGCCACTGTGTGACAGAGTGTTGGACTGGATGGGCCCATTGGCCTGATCAAGCAGTGACTTCTCTTATGTTCTATGTTCTTATGCTACCTTACCAGGTCATTCATTGCATTGTTCTCCAGTTCTGTAAATTGATTCTAGTCAGAATGTATTGTGCTGTTTGCTTGTTTTTTCCTTCTGATTTTTAAATGTTTAAATTAAAGCATTTTATGTTTCTTAAAGCTTTTTGTTATTTTTGCACTGGAAGGAGGCCTAAAAGCCTAGAGGTACTGTAAAATAGGGGAAAGCTGGGGGTCGGAATTGATATGACACTGAATTTAGATTTTAATTTTTGAAAGAAGGTTACTTCAGAGGGAGAGGCAGGTTTGGGGGAGAGCCTGGAAAGTGACATCACAGGAAGAGGTGGGGTTTTGGTGCAGTGTACTGAAAGTGCCATCATCAAAAGGGGAAGTGACATAACTTGCCATTTGACCTGGAAGTGACATCACCGGAAGTGACATCACAAAAGTCTCCTGCCTCCACCCCCAAAGTCCTCAGATATTTCCGGATTTGGACTTGCCAACCCTATTTACAGCAGGCTCTACGTTTTCAAGCAGTGAAAACTTCTAAGAACCTGGGAACGACTCTAGGCTATATGGACTGAAAGTACACAGTAACCCTCCAAGGAATTTCTCAGAAAGGCTCACCACAATCTGCATGAAAGCTCACTAAGAGAGGTTTCTGTCCTTTATCATCTGTTAAAAACATTTTGGTCCTCTTGAAAAATGCCTTAGGAACCAAGCTAAATAAAGTCACAGTTTTCACAACAGATACTTGACTTCACATATGGTTTTAACTAAATACCTTGCACGTCTCCAGCAGCTTCAGAAAGAAATAACTGCAGCATACCAAGTAGATGCTAGCTCCTCAAAATGCCAGGACAAGCACATACCTTCCATAATCTGGTTTCTATATATAGATAAGAACTATACCTAAAGCCAGGAAGGTCAGCATTGAAGCAAGTCAAGCATATTTTAGCTGCCCTCATCTTCAGTCCTCTACTACCCATGCCACAATTCTCCCAAGTTGGAGATGTACATTATATCTTCGAAACAAAACTTGTCTTATAAACTTGTCTTCTTATAGAAAAGATCAGAGATGGAACTCTGCCTATTAAAAAGAGATCAGACAAAGTGTTCTTACTTCAATAATCCTGTCATGAATCTGCAGTCCCCCTTCTTTGGCAGCAGGCCCACTGTCAGCTATTTTAGAGACAAAAATTCCTTCACTGGATGAGCCGTCTTGATTGTCCTTTAAAGAAAGAAAAGGGGGGGGGAGAGAATGTAAACACTGGAAAAGACTGAAACATGTTGAAGTCATGGCACTGCTCACAAGTTAAACATTGGAAGCCAAATGGATGTTTAAGTACATTGCAGACCAGAGCCATGGAGATTCAAACCTTTCTATTGGTAAACATTATATGCAGCCACAAACAGGCCAGTATTTAACTTGCCATTGTTCTAGAGACCACATTGTTTGATTCAGAGAAAACAGAACAAGAGGAAACATCTCCACAATTTGGGTATCATCTGAAGGTGGTGAGAGGAAAGGTCATTGACCTCTTCCTGAAGATACACATACTACTTGCAGCAACAGGACACGAGTTTCCCTGCAAGGAATATGTCTCCCTGCACCTTGGAAGAGAACTAGAAGCATAAGAAAATATAGCGTGTATATTTCCTCACACTGGAGATTTAACCTAGTATTACTGTATCATTGAAACTTGGCTGGGGAAGGGATCAGCCTCTCCCAACTGCATCCCCCAGGGTACTTGGTGATACATCAGCACAGGTCTGACAGGCAGGGAGGTGGTGTCTCTGTAGCCTATTAAGAGCCTATCCCCCGAACACAGTGTCCCATTCAGAACACTTTCAGTTTTGAGGCTGGGATTGAGAGACAGGATTCTGTAGGTGTACCTCCCATCCCGCTATCTAAGTCTCCCCTGCCTGAGCTGACAGAGGTGGTATCAAGGGTAGTGTTGAGGAAGCCTAGCTTGGTGGTCATGGGGGACTTCACCATTTTGTCAGTAGTGGCTCAGACTTCATGGCATTTTGGCTGGTCGCTTGACCGTATTAATAAACTTGACTTGACTTGACTTCATGGCATCTATGACGACCATGGGCCTGTCGCAGGTAATAACTGGTCCTACACATGGTGCAGGTGACACGCTTGAGGGCAGCTGTGTTGGTCTGCAGCAGAACAGCTAGATTCCAGTCCAGTAGCACCTTAGAGACCAACAAGATTTGGGGGGCAGATGAACTTTCCAGAGCCAAAACTCCTTCCTTCGATACAAGTAGGAATGGAGATCTCCGAACCCTTATATCCCAGTCTGCAGGTGGGAGGGGTGTTGCAAAGAAAGTAGTCAGGGCGTAGAGGTACAATGCAAAATGCAATTAGCTTGATTAAAGTAAGGAGAAATGCTTAGGAACAGAAAATTAGCATCTGTAGTAAGATAAGTATCATATGCCCCTATTCAGCTCTTGGGGGGTTTCCCCTGCTTTAATACCTGGAAGGTAGGTTTCAGAACGTGATACTGAAAAAATGCTGCTCAGCTACTTTGGGGTCTTGCAAAGCTCCATCTTGTCCCCCGTGCTTATCAATATCTACACAAAACCAACGAGACAGGTCATCCAGAGATCTGGGCTGGTCTGTCATCGATATGTGGGTGACATTCAGCTCTATCTTGTACTTCTTTCTGTCCCAGGGAGGCTATCAAAACCTTAAACTGGTGCCTGGGGGCAGTTTTGGGGTGGATGCAGGCTAATACACTGAAGCTTAAACCTGACAATACAGAAGTGCTACTGGTGAGCAGAGGACTCAAGGTGTCACTTATTCTGGATGGGATTGCACTTCCCTTAATGGAACAAGTCTGTAGTTTGCGGTTGCTCTTGAATCCAAGCCTACTTCTGGATAAGCAGGTGGTAGCTGTGGCCAGCAGTGCCTTTTACCAGTTTCGACTGGTTAGCCAGCTGTAGCCTTTCCTGGACAGAAAAGACCTGGCAACTGTGCTACATGCCCTGGTTACATCTACATTACATTACTGTAATGAGCTCTACATGAGGTCGCCCTAGAAAATGTTTGGAAACTTCAACTGGTATAGATTGCTGCAGCTAGGATGTTGATTAGTATGGTTCATAGGGACCATTTAACTACAGTCTCGTTACATCTGTACTGGCTCCTGATCTGGTTTCAGGCACAATTCAAGAGGCTGGTATTGACTTTTAAACCCCCACATGGCTTGGGAACAGCATAACTGAAGCCTACTCCCTTATGAACCTACCAACCACTACATCACCATCTGAGGCCGTGTTCTGGATGCCCTCACCATCTGAAACCCAGGAAAGGGCCTTCCTGGTCATGGCACTGAACTCTAGAACTCTCTCCCCAAATACACTCACCTGTCCCCTTCTGATTCCATCTTCTGCCAACAGGTGAAGACTTTTTTGTTCCATTTAGCATTCCCTCAGTGATCGCTCCTTCCCACCCTGTTTTTAACTCATTGCTTTTACCTACATCTAGTTTATTGTATTGTTTGTGTATGCCAACTTGGTTTTAATTGTTTGAATGATGGGTTTTTGTTTGGTTTTAATGGTTTTCAATACTTTAAAAATTATATGTTTTTAATCTCGTAGCCTCCTGATGAATTTATAGGTTTGAACTGAATGGATTCCCCAATGAATGAAAACCTTTATCTGCATTGAAAGGAGCTCCCCTTTAAGCAACTGGTGGCAGGTAGAGAAGTGAAGTGAGAAACTGCAGAAATGTTTGACTCCTGGCTGGCTAGCATCCTCCATGTGACCCAAATAGTAAATGCTGTCCTCACTGTAACTGGACTCAGTGCCATCGGAACACAGCCCAATCTGAATGGCATTAAATCCAGTGCATGACCCCCTGACTAGTTGGGAATACTGGAGGGAGAATGAAATATTAGGGGGGAAACAGCAATGAAATAATCCCAGAAGGGATAAATAGTCATACCAACAGTTGCGGACAGTCACAAGAAAGGCAAGACAAAAGAGTTGTTTGGGTCAGCCACCAAGAAACTTCTATTTTTAAGGCAAACAGAGAACCAGGGTAATATTATGCTCTGCCCTACTACTGCATAAATGAACTATTTCACTGTTAGTATATTTAAGCCCCCCCCCCTTTTTGGTAGAAGAGGTTTATTCAAGATGTCTTCAACATCTAGGAATGGCAATTGTGCTTGCTTTACATAGTTATTGTTAATTATGGCTAATTTTCTAAGGATTTTGAACAATCCATTCTTTCATTAGGTTGTACATAAGCAGACTAATCTGTGACACTTCAAAGCATAAGAATATAGCATAAAACAACAGAAATACATTTGTGTTTCAGTGAAAATTCCCCACCCCAATCTCATCTGTAAAAACATTGGCGAATGACACAAAGCTGCTTTTGTTCATTGAGCAATCATCTCCATGGAATTTTAACAGCATTTGAGAGATTCTACCACAATGCCATTAAAATGTTGCTAATTACAAGAAAATTACTTAATTAAAGTGCAGCAGCCAACAAGACTGGTACATTCTTAAATGCAAAAAAGCCATTATTTCAAAATTGATTCCTTTCCTTTCTTATCATTAGAAATGTGCTGATTTTGTTCAGACAGCATAAAGCCAATCAATAAATATGAAGAAATTTTTTCCAGGTTTGATTTAAACAAAACTCACATATTATATGTGAAGAAGTGAGCAGTGACTCATGCCACGTATTTTGTCAATCTTTAAGGTGCTACTGGACTCTTGCTCTTTTCTATCATATACTGCACAAAACAAAAACTCAGTTGAAATCATAAAGCTCACAAACATTACACTGTCTATCAGACAGAAAAATCTGAAGTATCTAGTCCCCATATTCTTAACTAAAATTGCTTTCAGTGCCTAAGAATATTGACATTTTCCCATCCCTCTGCAGGACTGGACTGTAACAAATGCAATGCTAATTTCTAAACATCTGATGCTAGTGCTTAGCAATTGTATATATTTTCCAAGACTTAAAGGTAGAACAAACTGCCAATTGCTGTTTACTTTCAGCTGTAGTTGAATAATCTCATTCGGAAGGAGCTGTATTATCAGCACTTCCAGTAGACGTTAAAACCTGCAAGAAGTGATATAGCAGGGGACCCCAAAATGAAGCCAGTGGACACCATGGTGCCCACCAACACCTTCCTTGGCACCTGCCAAGTGTTTTTAGGAAGTGGGTGGGGCCAGGTGGGGCTTTTACCTAGCAGGGCTTCTGACTGGCCTTTGGATATTTGATTGGCTGTGATTTTTTTATATAAAAATGTTGTTATGGGAGCAGCTACTACCACCACAGCACAAGGATCTTCACTGAAGGTAAACTGTGGCATCCATTTTGCGGCTGGGTCCACCTTTTGTGGCAGACATTTACGGCAGCCGCTTTGCAGCTGTGCCCACCTTGCTGTGTCAGAATTCCAGAGGTGATCACAGGCTGAAAAAGACTAGGGACCCCTGCGGTATACCATCTGCCTATTTCAAATGTATCAAAGAATCCCCATACTATGATCAGGCCTAATGCTTCAGAATACAAAAGAGAGAAGCATTTGCTCCGTGAAGACAGACCATGTAATTTGTATATGGAAAGATTCTTTTGTGAAACAAAACACTCAGCTAATCACTGATATGTCCTTCCTTCAAAATGTCTCTTATACTATCACTAATAGGAAAGACAAACATACTTTAATTATTAACATACCATACATGGTCGTCCACCAATTATATTAAATCCAAGAGATCCAGAATCACGATGAAGGACAAGTGTGAGTGCTTTAGTTTCTTCACCCTAAAATGAGCAAAGAAAGTCAACTGTAAAGCCTTTGATAAATTTAGGACAGGTTTTGCTTAATAGTGAAAACTAATATTCGATAGCAACTCTGTCAGTAAGTACACTCCTGACACGCAAACGTTATTTTGCTCACAGATATCAATGAAAATTTCTTGGGGATTAAGTTTTTGGAAAAGTTCAAGACCCTTAAGTGTAGCATCAGATCAAACTGATCAGCTCATATTCAGGCAAAGCTGTCATTAGCTTTTATCATCTTGAAATTCTTATTGCTCCTGGGTGGATAATATTCCACGGTTTGTAAAGAGAGCTGCTGATTTTGCTCATGCCTCAGTGGAAGCAATTGTCTTCTGATCTCTTCTGAAGTTACATGTGTGACCACTGCACTTTATTTAAGGAAATACTATGGTATTCTATCATGTGCTACCTTTCCCGGTAGCACTTCTGATGAAAGAATGACCACGGAGCAGCTCACTGGAATAAAACACTGCAGGTTAAACCTCTAGTAGTATTACAGATAACACGATCATGTCCTCCAGAAAAGGTTACAGTTCTGCCACTCATGGCTCACTGTTTACATTCTCTCTTCAGTAGCCTTCTTGCTAAAGATCTGCATGTGCTAAAGGAAAGACTTCAAGAGGACCACAAAAAGCAACACACATAAAGCACCACAAATGATATTACAGAAAGCTGGGAAGAGTTAAGATAGATATTCATATCAGGGCTGAGGTGGGGCAGCTGCCAGTGAAGGACCTGCAGGTGATGGGCAATGTTAACACTCCTGATGGGCACAGTGATGGTGTTATTATCTACATACACCAGCCAGCACTGTCAGGGAAAGGACATATGGCCAGTAGGAATGCTCACAAACAGATGAAGGAAGGAAACAAGGCAGGTGGGGATGTGGGTGGGCTGGACACTCTGCCCCCACCTGTAACCAGCCCTGAAGGAGGAGGAGATTAGATTCATACCCTGACCTTCACTCAGAGGGGTTTACAATCCCCTTTCCCTTCCCCACAACAGACACCCTGTAAGGTAGGTGGGGTTGAGAGAACTGCTTCAAGAACTGCTCTTTAGGGAACAGCTCTGAAAAAACTTGTGACTGACCCAAGGTCACACCAGCAGCTGCATGTGGAGGAATGGGGAATCAAAGTCGTTTCTCCCAGTCCGCACTCTTAACCACTACACCAAACTGAAATGAAACAATTTCCAGACCAAAAGTTGATTGGTCCAAATCATTTTCACAAAATTCTAGCACAGTAACTAGCCTCAAGAAATCCCAACACATCTTTACATAGCAAGCCACAATCACATTTCACATAGGCCTGCCAACCTCCAAGTGGGGCCTGGAGAACTCCAGGAATTACAACTAATCTCCAGACAAAGATCAGTTCCCCTGGAGAAAAGGGCTGCCTTGGATTGCGGACTTGGTGGCATCATGCCCCTTGCTGAGCATCTTCCTCTCCCTACAAACCCATCTCCAGGAATTTCCCAAGCTGGAGCCAGCAACCCTACGTAGCATTCACAAATTGGGCATCACACTAAAATGCCAACTCAAAGTAGTTTCCTCACATAATCCTCTTCTGATTTTTTTTAAAAAATGGCATGCAGTTAAAATGATTACATTACCACCACTGAAAATAAAATAAATGTGGGCACAGTTTACTAAAGGTAAAGGTAAAGGTTCCCTTGCTTGAAAGCCAGTCGAGTCCGACTCTAGGGTTGCGGTGCTCATCTCCGTTTCAAAGCCAAAGAGCCAGCGGTGTCCGAAGACGTTTCCGTGGTCATATGGCCAGCATGACTAAACACCAAGTCGCACGGAACGCTGTTACCTTCCCACTGAAGTGGTACCTATTTATCTACTTACAATTTCTTGCTTTCGAACTGCTAGGTTGGCAGGAGCTGGAACTAGAGACGGGAGCTCACTCCGTCTTGCGGCACCCGGGTCTCGAACTGCTGAACTACTAACCTTCCACAGCCTGCAGTTCAGCGTCTTAACCACTTGAGCCACCGCAGCTCCTTTTACTACACAGTTTACTACAGCATCACTAAATGCAATCCTAAGTGGAGTTACACCCTTCGAAGACCACTGAAGTCAATGGACTTAGTATCATGTAAATCTGTTTAGGATAGTCCTGTGAAAGCAACAAAAATGTTGGCCGTGTATGTGTATGAAGAGCCACCTTTTTTTTGTTCCTGGTCTATGAAATACTGACATATAGTCTATAATCCTTTGTCTACTGAGGTCTACTTGTGTTTACATAAATTAATATATATATTTTAAACAAACTCTGTTGGAAAAGATTACTTCATGACTATATAACTAGGAAAATAGTATATCACAACATGCATTACAACAATGAGACCACGGCTGCTGAGCCAGTGCCTAAATATAGTATTGCCATCTGCTGATAAAACATCCTTTCTCACTGCTCAAAAAGAGAGGCCATAGCTCAGAAGGTGAATGCATGCTTTGCATGTATGAAGATTCAAGTATGAGCTCTTGCCATCTCCACTTAATAGGGTATCAGGTAGCAGGGCTGGGAACAACTTCTACTTGAAACCCTAGAGAGCAGAGTTCAAGACGCACTCCACTCATGGCTGACATTACCATGCTAGATGAGCCATTGATCCAATTCATTAAGTGGCAGAGTTTTTATTTCCCTTGGGAGCTGGAGGATTTCTAGTACTTTTTAATTTCCCACAAACAATGCCAGAAAAATAAAACAATTGATTGACTTCTGGGTCTCTCTACTTCCATGTAAAAGAAAAGTTCACTGATTTTAATAAAGTTACATTAACAAAATGCAGAGCAATGCAAAAATGAATGTAAACCTAGTGCTTCTGGAGGAGGTAACATAAACCCATGCAACACAGAAACTCTGAGGCTCCCCTCTTGTTTTCCCATCAAATAAAACTGATGTAATCAAAAATCAGCTTCCTTTGGAGGGGGCACACAACTCTATCATAAACATCTGGTTCCACTGCCTTCCCAGTTCCTGTTTCACATGGCTTTTTAAAAATCTCCCCGCATGTATTATTTCCCCCCTTCTCACATCTTAATTTTCCTTCAGCTTTGCCTTAAATTGTGAAAATCATAGCCTGTATAAAGCCATGACTAATGTATCATATGAATAAGTAACCTTTCTTTTCTGGTCCTGAGACCACCTTAAACAATTCCATCTCCATTTCTGCCTTTATGCCTGTGTTCTCTCAACCCCTCAAGCAAGGACTGAGGTTGCCCAAAGCAGCCCAGGGGTTAAATTTTTTAAAAATCTATTATTTATATGGTCTAAAGGAATAACAGCCTGATCAAAAAGCCTATTGAAATCATGGAAAACATTCCCATCTAACTCAATAGACTTTGGAACAAGCCACACATGGCTTGTAAACTTCAACTACTTGGATACTTGGAGGAAGTCATACATCATCCAAGTAACAGCAAGAGGAAGCTACCTACTTATGATTTTAAAACAGTAAACATTGGCTGGGTGGTTGTTTCTCCATCACACTTTACGAAAATAATAAACAGGGAGTAAGGAAAGTGTATGTAGTTTATCTGAAATAATGTCCTTTTGACTTCAGTACTGTATTTCTGCTATAGGCTGCAGTCAAACATAACAAATAAACTCTGGTTTATTTACAATAGGAAGGGGCCCCAAAGTGATTGGGCCTTTGCACTTCTTGGTTGGAAAGAAACGAGAGTTTTAAACCAGTTTAACCCTGATTTAAAACCCCATGTTACATTTGTAGGCAAGAAAAAAACTGAACGAACTGAGGTTTCCTTCATAAAAGGAAGTCCTCATTCCTGGATCTGAGTACAAGGGAAGAGATGGGAAACAATGAGAATTTCCTGGCTCATGATCAACACAAACTGGAGTGTGTTTATAATGTCTGAATGCAGCTTAATGTATGTGTGTACTTTTAATTTTTGCCATTGACAGTCACAAAGTGTAGACTCTGATGATCGTCCCAGCTTCAGTCATGTGTTAGTAAAGTGACACTGTAATAGTAAATCAATACCTGGATCTGGAAATTTGGAACGTAGTTGTTGTTACAAGTAAAAATCTTTTTATATGTCATCTCAAAAAGTTGAAACTTGAGGAAGCTATTTTGCACATCTGTTTCTCATAACTAATTAATGACATAAGTAACAACTGCTGCCTAATACTGCAATGCACATGTTTAAAGCTTGTTCATTTTTTCCCTTTTTCTCTGTGTCAATTTGAAGCTGTCAGTCAACCTTTATTAGTATCTGGTATACTCTGATTTGGTCATATATTCTCCTGTCACTCTTCTGAAAGAAAAAAAAGCCCAGAGCTGAAATCAGCTAGTACAAATTACAGAGTTCTAGAGACTCCAATTAACTTGTAAATTGTGCAGCAGTTGCACAACAAATGTTATGTAGTGACAAATCCAAGTGCAATTCTTATGTGCCAACTTATATTTATTTAGAAGTAAGTCTCACTGATTTCAACAAGCTTCATTTCTACATATGTTCATTTCTTTCATGCACAGTACTGAAGACATCGAAATCCAGTCTCAGGAGGTGCTGAGTTCTTTTACATTCTGCTTGCATTAACTGGCTTGGTGAATGTTCAGCTCTTCTGAAAGGACAGCAATGAAGGGGGGGGGGGAATGAAAGCTGTTTTCCCGGAAATCCCCAAGCCCAGACATCAGATAATATTTCAAGGCAAAAACCTCCTATCCTGGGAGACCACTTTTAAGGTCTAATAAGTTCAAAATTGGAAACACAAGAATGTTATTGTCACAAAAGCTACCCTCTCTATTACTCAGCTCTGCTCTACAGAAGAATAAAAATAAAATTGAGTCAATCAAGACACCATTACTAGATTGTATTCAGGATGGCCACGCTAATTAAAGCTTGAAAAAAGATCTCAATTACTGCGATTAATGTGGGTTTTTTCTTAATAAAAGGTTTTGCTGGGGGGGGGATTTCACAATACACTGACTAGTTAGGTTTTTTTTAAGAATTGAAA